CTCTCTCTCTCTCTCTCTCTCTCTCTCTCTCTCTCTCTCTCTCTCTCTCTCATCTCGCCTTACAGCATTTTTTTCTTTCAAACTGAAGCTTTTATTTTGTAGCTGCTGACCGGAAGTCCTCTGTTCAAATGGAGCAGCTGGACAGACGTCCCAAGTTGAGTAGAGCAGCTCTGCGGCGTGAAGACAGCAGAGGAAAGTGACTCACAGGGGGGTTCTGCTGGGAGACAAACCTCTTCGTCTTCATCACTTTTTCTTTTTATTGAGAAAGGAAAAAATTAGGTCACTTTTTGAACCAACAGGACTGGATGAAAGCAGGAGAGAAGTGAAGTGGGTGTTTTATCTCATCTGAGCCTCTTTGGAAATGAGTCCAACAAAGGAGGATATTAAGGAAGGAGAAGAGAAGTGATTCAGGAGGATGAGTGATATTATCTGGGGGAAATCGCTGGGCTTTCATCTGATTATTAATTAATTTATTATTATTTTACCACAGGAGAAATAGAGACTTCCTAATTAAAGTTGGCTGAAATATTTCTTGTAAAAACTTGCATTTATCTGTATTATGGAACATCGATATCAACTGTCTTATAATCAGCTGTAAACTTCTTGTTGCAAATATTCATTTTGTGCCACTCCTTTGACATAAGTGAGAGATWAACATGGCCATCAACACGGACACCGACTTCCTGAAGTCCAACCTGAGCAGTGAGGGTGGTGGAGGAGGAGGAGGAGGTCCCCAGCCCCCGGACTTCCAGGAGACAGAGAAGCTCCTGGCAGTGACCACTGAGCCCCGGGGGGACGGCGTGAGAATGTCCACCTCCTTCACTGTGACACCGGGCGGCGACAAGGCCCTGGAGGCCGACCAGAACGGCCACGGCGTGGCCCTGAGGTCGGAGTCTGTGGGGCAGCTGGCTGCCTCCGCCCCGCTGTCCCCGTCCAAGGCCAGCCTGAGCCGGTCCTCCACCGGGAACGCCGCCGTCCAGGAGAGCCCGAAGCCCCAGGACTACCTGATCCTGGTCATCGTCTCCTGCTTCTGCCCCGTTTGGCCCATCAGCATCGTGGCACTGGTGTACTCCATCATGGTGAGTGGGACTTTAACTCTCGGGCCAGTGTCAGGAACAAGCTTTTCAAGGCAGTGCTTTGTTTACACTGAGTGCAAACCCGCATTTTAGAATTACACCGCAAAATATCAGGAAAAATACTTGAGCAAACACTGTAAAACTCCACCATTTGATCTAATTTTTGGTAAACTTTTATTAAGCTTTATTTTATCATTTGCATAGTTAGTGAATCTTTAAACTACATTTTTTATTATTATTTTAAATCAATAAAGTTAAATTAATGATTAATGTAATAAAAACACATGAACTTCCTGTGTGGAAATCATGTTTCCTCTTGCCATGTTTCAGTTCAGCTGTTCTATTCATTGAGAATTATTCATGGGACATTTTGGGGGTTTTTGTTGTTCTTAATGTGTTTGTATGTCTTGCAGTCGCTGCACCTCTGCTTGCAACAAATTTCCCTTAGGGGACAATAAAGTATATCTTATCTTGTCTTATCTTATCTTATCTTATCTTATCTTATCTTATCTTATCTTATCTTATCTTATCTTATCTTATCTTATCTTATCTTATCTTATCTTAAACATGATTAGTTATCATGTGACACATGTGAAACAGGATTTGGCCCAAAAACAATCATAAATTTGTAAACATACGTACAATTAAAGACAATCCTTCATGTGGTTGAGATGTCACGCTCAGAGTCCTATGGTTTGAGGTCTCAGCTACTAACACATCAAGTTTAACTTAATATCTATAAAACTAAAGCCTGTGTTGTTAAATGTTAATTATCTGCACCAGTTGAATTGATTTAACTTCAAAAGGTAATCAGTTTTACTTGCACATCAGATGATAATTAAAAAATATTTGTATTATTTGTGATTTATTGCACACTGAAGAAAGTTATAGGATTAGTAAATAATTAATGGATAATTAAGGTAGGTAAGCTTGGGTGCTATGACCACGCCCTGGTCAAATAGACCTGATTTTCTGTACTCAGGCTGATTGAGAGAAAAGTTGTGAGCAGACACACTCAAACAACTGTTTAGGTCTTGGAATTCAATTCAAGATGGCCGCCACAGCTAATTGACCACAGCAAATTCTGTCCGTTTATGTAAAATTGTGATGATGTGCTTCCAGTTGGCAAGTACCTGTGTGTGTGTGTGTGTGTGTGTGTGTGTGTGTGTGTGTGTGTGTGTGTGTGTGT